TAGGACAGTAAGTCAAGGAGCACCTGTATGTGTCATTTATTAAATACTATAATAAAAGTTAAAATTACAGCTGGGGTAATCAGCTCGGCATACAGCATAGTGGAGCAGCAAGTACTCAAGCATACTTCTGTCTCAATCTACTACTGGTGCGTTCTTTGTCCTCATGTTCTTGCAAGATTGTTTTTGGAAGGTAAGCTAGCAAGACTAGTATTGCCAAGACCACAAATGCTATCTTTGCGTTATTTGTATTGAGATGCACCCTAGCTGTTTTTAGCCTAGCAGAACTGGTAATAAGGCTTCTGATTGGCCAATATGGCTTTATGATTAGAGTTATATCACCGCCTGTTGGTCTGGCATGCTCTTGACAGTGCATTTTAGCGTTTTCATATGCACAGAGATTTCTTTTTAATAAGAGTAAACAGATCAGCAATTTATTTTTAAAACATATTGACTTATGTGGGATCACAGCAGATTTGTTGTAATAACAACTGGCATGGCACTGTAACGCTAACATTACAGCACAGAGTAAAGAAACAACTTAACTTTACCATTACATAATGAAAATAAGATAACGATAAACAGTATATACAGTAGCAATCATATATGATGAATAATAAGCATGAGATTTGTACTTGTACTTACCTGTAAATACATCGAAATACAATGGGAATTTGTAACGACTTACAGAAATATAAAAAAAAAAACCTGTCACCGTTTATGAGCTCTGGGTAGTCCAGTAAGTCTAGCACTAATTTAAAATTGTTTGCAATATGTCTCTTAGATAGAAAACCCAATTGTGTTTCATCAGTTATAGAGTTTATAACTTTTTTGATATGCTTTGGTAATACAAGGGCAAAAACATTATCCTCATCCAATAAACATATAAGCTGGCAGGTCTTAATACAGTTCAAATCATTTTTAGGTTTGGGGATGAAAGCTATAAGCCATTGTGTCAGGGTAGGAGAGAGACAGCCTGTCTTAATACAGCGCCTATACAAAGTCATCAAAACCTGTGAAAATCTTTACCTTTTGTCACATTACACCTTGGAAAATATATATTTAAAAATTTGTCCAATTTTTTAGCTCCATAAACACATTACAGCCCCCATGTCCAATATGAAAATAACATTTTAAAACATTTTGTACGATTATTAAAAATCAGTTAGTGAAATACCTGGTTTGGTAAGGTGATCAACCCCTTAGATTTTCCCATTCTAAACTGGCTCAGATTCAACCAATCAGCTCCACCTGACATCAGTTGAAGGGGTTTTGATTACCTCAGAATAAAAACAGCTGTCTCTTGAAGATTTCACTACCAGTAGTGCAAGGTTCTGAAAAAGAACTCAACATTGTTGGGAAAGTGCTTTCAAAAGACTTCTTGGATAAAGTTGTAGAAAGACACAAGTTGGGAGAAGGCTACAAAAAGATTTCAAAAGCTTTAGCTATGCCTCTGAGTACTCTTCAGAGCATCATTAAGAAGTGAAAGATGTACACTCACCTAAAGGATTATTAGGAACACCTGTTCAATTTCTCATTAATGCAATTATCTAATCAACCAATCACATGGCGGTTGCTTCAATGCATTTAGTGGTGTGGTCCTGGTCAAGACAATCTCCTGAACTCCAAACTGAATGTCAGAATGGGAAAGAAAGGTGATTTAAGCAATTTTGAGCGTGGCATGGTTGTTTGTGCCAGATGGGCCGGTCTGAGTATTTCACAATCTGCTCAGTTACTGGGATTTTCACGCA